TATATATATATATATATATATATATATATATATATATATATATATATACAGGGTGGACCAGGACAAGTGAGAAAATCTCGAAACCAATTATATAACCCTTTATTAACTATAATGTTTTGTCATTGACAGTTGTATGAAAATTATTACGCTAATCAAAGAACTATTGTTCATTCTGTCTACCATCTCCCCTTGCTTCTCGGAGACTTATTGTAAGCGTTGGTGCCTTTTGTATGCTTCTGACAAAAAGCGGTGCTATCACAATCTTTGGGCCACCCTGTATACAGATTGCATACCAAAAAATCCCCCATGGTCTACTAGTTGAAATGTGTAAAAAATTTCTGTAACAGAGGAGACATGATATTGCCCTGTTGTGTAAAATGTACAGATGACTTCGACATGAGCATGCACATTTTTATGGAAATGGAAGACTGGTAGAAGAACGCCGAGAACTGCTTTTGACAAGCTCAATGCGAAACAGCCCGGAAACATGGCAGAAACATGGCAGAAACATGTAAGAGGATGATTGTGTTGGATTCACTGAAACTTAAGAAATCACTAGGACTAGGATTTCGTCATGGAGAATAAGCTGGTTCCCAGTCAGCAGATCCCACAAACGTAAAGTAGCTGGTGGGCCCTAGAGACATCAAGTGGATGACGGATTCAGTTTGTGGATCATATCTGGACTTTCTGGAGACTTTGTTTCCCTTAGCCGTGGGTTCGACATCGAGTTACTTTCCTTAGAGGGTTTGACATCGAGTTACTTTCCTTAGTAGGTTTGACATCGAGTTACTTCCCTTAGTGGATCTACACATAATCCAGAATTTACTGATACTATAAACTTTAAATACGTCTAATTTGGCAGTGGATAAGACTGTAATTATCCTTAACGAAATATTTATAATTAGAGCCGGATAAGACTGTACGTACCTTTAAGAAAAATGTCTAAATTAGTGGGAGATATGTTTGATATTTAAAAATAAATTTAGTTTACCCAATATCATAACAGGAAATATGATAAACTATGTAGCTGGAGGAACTCAGCCCCCCCCCCCCTTCCCAAACTGGTTAGGATGTAATATATAATAGATTAGGAACAGTTCAAAGGCAAACAATTGCCTAATTTCACCCTTCGCGGTTCAGTTCAAATTACCCCTGATAATCCATTAGAACTAGAGAATTAATGGAAATCACTTAATTCAACCACCCAAAATATAAACACTGAAATGCAATAGACACTTTAGAAACACATTTCCTGTCTATTCTTTTCACCGAGAAGGTTTCAATAAGTCTTTTTGGCATCTGCTATAGGGACCACATCTCCAATGATACAGTGAAAGAAAGGATTCGTCAGGCAATTGGGGAGTACGATGACCTACTGGTGACTGGGAAAAAACGCAAATTACAATGGTATGGCCAGGTAACAAGGAAACAAGGGCTTGCCAAAGAAATATTGCAGGGCACCACAAGAGGAGGGGGAAGAAGAGGAAGACAAAGGAAAAGGTGGGAGGATAACATCAAAGAGTGGACAGGACTAACACTGGGCGATGCAGTGCGTGGTGAAGAAGACAGAGGGAATGGAGGAGGATGGTTCACATGTCATCTGTGGCGCCCTAACGGTCCAAGGACTAAAGGACATGATGATGAGGGTGAAATAAGTCACTATTTATTAAATACAACACAACACAACGCAACACTGAATAGCACTCACTTTATAAATGACTTCTTATTATTTCTCAGTGTTTAGTCTATCGTTTCATTTATTTACATTTCATGACTATTGCTATAAGCTAACTAAATTATGTGACAAAATTATTAGTTACTATGGTATTTATAATGTATTATTGCTTGTATCAATGTTGCCTGCTTTTCAAAATAACATTGAATAGACGCAATCAACTCACTTATGTGTCACAAACTAATCCATTATTTCTTACTGGCGGCATATTATTATCACACTGACAATTCCGGTTTGGTGGAATCTAGATGGTGGATAAGTAGATGTCATTACCAACTCTTCAAGTCCAGAAAAAACCGATCACAGACACAGACACTTACTGTTTCCAGCCGGAGAGAGCACTCAATGACAAATACTGGTTGTACCCAATTATCCCCAAATCTATGGCCCTCTAGCAAGCATGTTTCTATTGAACACACTAGTGGGTAGGGGGGCGGTTCGATTTCTTTACTTTGAGGAGAAAATCGATATGTATGATGGACATTCTCAAAAAGAAGGATATCAAAATTACTATTTACTGCTTGGCATTGTTCACTCCTTGAAGAAACAGCCAAAGAAATTGTTCACTCCTTCAGGAAACGTCTAAAGAAATTGTTCACTCCTTGAGGAAACGTCTAAAGAAATTGTTCACTCCTTGAGGAAACGTCTAAAGAAATTGTTCACTCCTTGAGGAAACGTCTAAAGAATTGTTCACTCCTTGAGGAAACGTCTAAAGAAATTGTTCACTGCTTGAAAAAACTGCTAAAGAAATTGTTCACTGCTTGAAAAAACTGCTAAAGAAATTGTTCACTGCTTGAAAAAACTGCTAAAGAAATTGTTCAAATCAACACGGGTTCTACTAATGTATGGGAAATCTATTTAATTGATCGCACCTAGCCGCCAAGAAAGGGTTAACGGTTAACATTGATTCATACTTGGCCAAGAAAGGGTTAACTGTTAACATTGATTCATACTTGGCCAGGAAAGGGTTAACTGTTAACATTGATTCATACTTGGCCAGGAAAGGGTTAACTGTTAACATTGATTCAAAGTTGGCCAGGAAAGAGTTAACTGTTAACATTGATTCATACTTGGCCAGGAAAGGGTTAACTGTTAACATTGATTCATACTTGGCCAGGAAAGGGTTAACTGTTAACATTGATTCACACTTGGCCAGGAAAGGGTTAACTGTTAACATTGATTCATACTTGGCCAGGAAAGGCTTAACTGTTAACATTAATTCACACTTGGCCAGGAAAGGGTTAACTGTTAACATTGATTCAAACTTGGCCAGGAAACGCGCATGTTTACAGTTGCTTGATCGAAAACAAACTGAGACCTGGTCGATACAGCAATACAGCAACACAGCAATATGCATACCACAAATGTAATTTACCACAGACAATTTAATTTTTTTAGATAAATTATCAAACATAAATTTAACTGACAGCTTAACATTAGTAATAGGATTATCAAACATAATTTGTGTACGTTAAAATTAAATCCCTTATTAAGTCCCTTTCCATTTTATCTGCTTCATTTTGTAAACATATAACAAATAACAGTGTTAAACATAAAAATAACAGTGTTAACATAAAAATAACAGTGTTAAACATAAAAATAACAGTGTTAAACATAAAAATAACAATGTTAAACATAAAAATAAGTGTTAAACATAAAAATAACAGGGTAAGATCATTTGTTCTTGAATGTCCACATCAGGGAGAACTCCCTTTACAAATAATACACAAAGTAATACAAAGTGTATTACAGAGGGGGAATAACTCTGACTGAACATCTGCAAGCGTCCATTTTGATTTAAAAGGGAGGAATAAACAATACAAGTTTGGGCTTCTTTATTTTTTCCATGTTTTACTTTGCGCGCGCGTGCATGTACGCCCGCACACACACACACGCACGCACACACATACACGCACGCACACACGCACACACACGCAAACACACACGCAAACACGCACTCACACGCACGCACACACACGCACGCACACGCACGCACACGCACGCACACGCACGCACACACACGCACACGCACGCACACGCACGCACACGCACGCACACGCACGCACACGCACGCACACGCACGCACACGCACGCACACGCACGCACACGCACGCACACGCACGCACACGCACGCACACGCAAGTAGAAATGTTTAATATGATAGTTAATAAAGTTGATTTCCTTGGAATGAAATAATGTAACCTTCGACTCCTTCTTGTCAATCTTGTGGTAGTGAGATATTGTTCGTCACAAGTCGTGAGATGTCGGTCATTTTGGAAGATGTTGTGAAACGGTATGTGTTGCTGAGATTGTGTATGGTGGCTGAAACGCGCTTCCGGACACGGGAAATGCCCGGATCCGGACGGACCAAGGAAAGTGTTTGGGATGTTGTGCAATTGTTTGATGGGATGGCACGTGCTGCTTGTGTTCCGTCTGGAACTTATGGAGTCACAACTTACACGTCATCAGTCAGAAGATGGACGCACCACGGCGCAGCTCGTTAGTCAGAAGATGGACGCGCCACCTGCGCAGCCTTGCACGGGCACGTACGGTGCTGCTACTGAACGCCCATTCAGACGTGTCTGATCTTCTAAAAGAGATATGACACTCAGTGTCGATCTTCCACGAATTATCTCAAAGGTTCTTATGTTAGCAACTTGACGCCCCCGTGTGAGTAACTACCCCCGAAGGCGCCGCCTCTGCTGGTTTATTTGTTCAAATATTTAATTGGGTTCAGGGAAGAAGAAGTCATGCGTTTAAAAATGTGTTGTAAATTGGAAGCAATAATCCATTTGAAGACATGATACCATGAGATGACTGGAATATTTCATTTTTGATCATTATAAGATTATACATTATTTATATATTTTCTTTTTAGTTGAATGATTGATCAAAAGTTATTCTTCTCTCGTCTTCTTTTTCTTCAGTACTATAAACGGCCAAAAAGCAATTCAACACTGTAAGTGATTTGTCTTTCGTGGATTACATAAAATAGTGCACCATTTTATAGGTTCCCTATGATGTTAAAACTAGTTCTTCCCTGTTTCCCACTTCAAATTCGTATATGACATGGCATTGGATTTAAACATGTCGACAATACTTGTAATACAGGAATAAACATTTTGCAGTGATCGCTTTTAATTTCGAACAAATATTTGATCTGATAAATGATATATGAATAATATTTGTCCTTAATCTTAGTGATATATATGTCCTCAAAGTCAAGCGTATAGTTCTGAATGTTCGTCACGTTTGATTGTCTTTCTCAAAGTGTTAGGGCAATATTCAACAGAAACGCTAGAGTTAACACAACCCAAATGATGAAAAACACAACAAAAGAAATGAGGTCAATATGTTTCCCGATCACCTTGTACTTGTTGACCTTTGTTTTCTTCATTTTCGTCGTTTCACCCTCCCCGCTGCCGATTGGTGAAGAATGTCGAGGCAAATCACCTTCTTCAAGGGCAGATCCCAGCGATTCTAGACGCATGCGCGAGGTCTTGTTGAATCCATTCATTTCATTGGCTGAATCCTTCGGCATTGGCGAAACAGCTCTCCGTAGATTGGTTACCGTCTTGAGTGCACTCCTGAAGTTCGACGTCGCCTTCATGTGCTGCTCTTCTTTCTGAAATATCACAAAAACTGGTTGAAATCTTTGGGATACCCCAACTATTAAAAAAAAATAGATTTGGTCAGTCGTGTAAATGCTTAAGTAATCTAGTAATCACAAATGGCGGTAAAAATTCTGACCGTGCCGTACAAATTTAAAGGGATCTTTTAATGAACCACTTAATATTCCTTATAATTATTACCCAAATGCTTTAAGCATTCATTTTCTATTATAAATCAGTTTGACCCGTGGGTACCAGATCATCTCTACACTAAGGAAGATTCGCATCTGTGATCAACATAATTATATTATGTACTAATATATATGTATACTAATATGTAACAGTAGTGTTGCCAGCCCTTTGTTACAGAAGTGAAAGCTTCACCTTTGAGCCACCATAGATCATAGAAGTGTCTTCGAAAATGTGTAAAGACCTATAGTTAAAGCCATTTCCCTTTTTAAAATAAAATGCTCACTTCAGCCCATGCTATCATAGGTTCAGTCATAACATTCAGGTATCTAGGGTTTGTTAATAATATTTATGTTGAGTCTTAACGCAACCGTGGAATTATTTCTTTGCCACCCACCTCCTCCAGGTGGGACAGGTAAACAATGACGATGCTGTCGATCACTGTCAGCATCGACAGGATGAATAAGACGAAGAGGTAGATGGTGACCTTGGGCAGGGTCACCGACGACCTCGGCAGCATACTGCTTACTATACTCATGAAAACCGACAGCGCCAAAAGCACAGTTATACCTGCGGATGGGAGATGGCAAATGGACAGATGGTAGATGGTGGATGATCAGTCGGTAGATGGCAGATGTTAGATGGTGAATGGTAGATGGTGAATGGTAGATGGCAGAAGGTAGATGGTAATTGACAGATGGTCAATGACAGGTGGTAGATGTCAGATGGTAGGTGTCAGATGGTAGATGGCAAATGGCAGATGGTAGATGGCAGAGGATATATATGGTAGATAGAATTGGCAGATGATAGATGGCACGTTTTAAATAATTTTTTTTTAAATACATTATAAGTGGTCTACCAATAACAAGCAACACTGTTGTCCTTCGAATCAGCATTGTGCCAAGTGAAACGTTAGAAATACTTTTAAACTTTCTTATACTTAAAACAAAATATGCGGGACACAGCCTGCTGTGAACCTCACCGTAGCCAATCTTCTCGCCCGACTCCACGGGTATCACGAAGACCAGGAGGTTGAGGAACGACAGGAACACGATCGGAAGAACAATGTTGATCAACAGGAAGTTTGGCCGTCTTTTCAAGGTGAAGGTCACCTGAAAGGGAAAGCTGTGTTAATTCAACGCTGTTCATGTGCGGAGTTGTGGGGGGGGGGGGGGTTAGGGTAGGGGGGACTGTCTGAAAGCAACACTTACATCATGAGCCTTTACCTTACTTTGCTTTCCGTCTTTTCAAGGTGAAGGTCACCTGAAAGGGAAAGCTGTGTTAATTCAACGCTGTTCATGTGCGGAGTTGTGGGGGGGGGGGGGTTAGGGTAGGGGGGACTGTCTGAAAGCAACACTTACATCATGAGCCTTTACCTTACTTTGATTTGCTTCGTCTCAACGGTAAAACGGCTTTTCCCCCCTTGAAAAACTAGAATGACATAGAGATACCTGAATATAGGACAGCCTCGATGCTCCAGTGTTCAGCTCAGACACACTGATGTTCGTGTCCTTGACCTCCCACTCGCCATGAGGTGTGAAAAAGGTTTGCTTGGCCGATGGGCTGCGTGCCGCGAACTGCATCTCAGCTGAACTGAGGGTCATCGCAGAGATCTGGACACACAACATTTAAAATAGAATGAAGCAACATGCGAACTGCATCTCAGCTGAACTGAGGGTCATCGCAGAGATCTGGACACACACATTTCAAAATAGAACTAAGCAACATGCGAGCGCTGGTGTCAATGACGATATCGTTCGAACAAAAGTCTAGCAACAGTGATTCAAGGGTGCGATCAAGATACCCCCTGCTAAAGAAGACATAACGCTTATCTAGGTCAATCCCCACAAAAAATGTATGAGACTTCTAATTTAAGATCATGGTCATAGATGATCTCTTGACACACTAAATGCTCATGGTGACAGAGGGTTACCGGAAACTTGTTTGAAATAAATTTCGTCGACGTAAAATATGAACGACGGAAGTTTGATCGACCTGAACGACGGAAGTTTGATCGACCTGAACGACGGAAGTTTGATCGAACTGAAATTTGATCGAACGGAAGTTTGGTCGAATTTTTTATTTTTTTTAGTTCACACGATCAAATTTTCATCAAATTTCTTTTTGAACACACAATACTGTAGAGTACAACAAAACCATGCTTTGCACCCACAACACTGTACAGTACAACAAAACCATGCTTTCAAAGAGAAATTTGACGCAAAATTTGATCGTGTGAACTTTAAAAAATAAAAAATTCGACCAAACTTCCGTTCGATCAAATTTCAGTTCGATCAAACTTCCGTCAAACAATTTTCCGTCAACAAAATTTCTCTTCGATGACATAAGTCTATTGACCAAATGGATAGTCTGACATGGTCAGCTCACATGACGTCTTGATCCACTAATCCATACTGACTTACTTTAATGATACAAGTCTGTTCATCAAATGGATAGTCTGACATAGTCAGCTCACATGACGTCGGGAACAAACTGCCAGGGACCCACGTGATGCCTCCAGTGTGAAATACAAACAATGGGCTGAAATGTAGGTCATGAATATAGAGACTAAAAATTTAGATTAACCAGGATAATCGTATTAAAAGACTTTCTCTCGCCCTCTCTCTTTCTCTCTCTTTGTTTAATTCTCTTATCTCTTACACTGGCCAACACAAAATTTGGGGCCTCAAATGTTAGAAATGTTTCTTAATATATTTGACCCCCTGATTCCGAAAACGGCATCGGCTTTCTATTAATGGCTCTGGTTAGTGACATAATGAAACATGCCTTTTAACACGAGTGAAGCATATTATCAATTGTTGATACATGTGAGCCACATGGAAAGCTACACATATTTCTTGCCAACACGACATGTTCACGGTGTAAAACTTTCCTAACTATTCAACACAAAAGAAGTTCATTTGTAAGACTTCTGTCGGCGGAACCCAGCCATAAGAGATTCCAACAGTAGTTTGCGACCACGTGTGCATCCTGTCTTCCTTGGTATCTGGTGCCCGTCTCATCTCGCTCTTAGCTCACGTGAGGAAGTTTCTATGGAAAGTGATCACATTTTTCACTAAATAACTTTGTTTTTCACAAAAAGAACAAGTGAAGACCAGACACATGATTCATATGCTGTGGGATGTGGATTATTTATAAGTTATCATCTGTGGATAACGTATAAGTTATCATCTGTGGATTATTTGTAAGTTATCATATTTGGATGTTCTAGAACAAAGAACTATATATGTTTGACTGACCTATTAGTTTGGAAATAGAACAATGTTGGTTTGACTGACCTATTAGTATAGAACACTATTTGTTTGATTGACTTAGATAATACTATATTACGCACAAGAAAATGTGGATTATTTACAAAAAATGCATTTTCCATTTTGATACAAAAGTAAGGTTTTTATGACATCCCGAGACTGTAAAATAGGTGGTCTATAGAGTGAATTAAATTGTTCAAAATAAACCCTATTTTAAAGAAGTCTAGAGCTGTTGCGATACATTCGATGCCCTTTTTGGAATCAGCGCTAAAAATACAAATAGGACCGGGCAATGTTCCCTCTAAGGTTTGTTGGTTCGTGTGCAAAATCATCAAGTTGTGAGCACATTTTTACAGCATCAATTTTTGTGTGTGCAAAATTTTACAGCCTACAGACACAAACACACACTTGAGTGGATATTAGCTGCGCGGTACTCAAAACTGCTGCGTGGTACTCAAAACTGCTGCGTGGTACTCAAAACTGCTGCGTGGTACTCAAAACTGCTGCGTGGTACTCAAAACTGCTGCGCGGTACTCAAAACTGCTGCGCGGTACTCAAAACTGCTGCGCGGTACTCAAAACTGCTGCGTGGTACTCAAAACTGCTGCGTGGTACTCAAAACTGCTGCGTGGTACTCAAAACTGCTGCGCGGTACTCAAAACTGCTGCGTGGTACTCAAAACTGCTGCGTGGTACTCAAAACTGCTGCGTGGTACTCAAAACTGCTGCGTGGTACTCAAAACTGCTGCGTGGTACTCAAAACTGCTGCGTGGTACTCAAAACTGCTGCGCGGTACTCAAAACTGCTGCGCGGGGTCTGTGAGATTACTGCGCGGCCGCGCAGTTTTAGGGAACATTGGGGCCAGACCTAAAGCTCAAGACACCAAGAATTAATTATAATTATTTTTTTTCGTGGTGGCCTGTGTCACTGTTTCATTATTTTTTTTTAAATTTGAGTATGTATTTAACTGTACAAATCATGATAGATCAATAAATTTGAACCCTACGCCTTATCGTCATCAAAGAGATCCCTGTCTCCTAGCGTATTGATGAGGACCACTCGGGGTCTCCAGATGTTCTCTGGGAGGGGGTGAATGAGCTTGACCCCCCCGTACTTGTCAGGATCCCATGCAACAATCTGCAGACGTGAAATGTGACAGAACCATCTTAATAAATGCGAGATACATTAGAAGTCATTTTGACAGTTTTTTTTTAAATTTTAGAATCTTCACCGGTAGAAGATATTATTGTAGAGAAAAAAATAATTAATTAAAATTCAAAATACCAACATTTTGACTTTTGTTGACAAACACTGAGTAATGAAAATGCCCCCCCCCCCCCAAATAAGTCCTCGATTTGCCTAAGAGAACTCGCTGAATGGCTGTTTGTGATAATTCATTATAAATGTCTTGTCTTCAAATTGTTTTATTTTTGTGCTGAAAATGTATAAGGCAATCATAAAACATTTCCATTTATTTGGATCAATAAAAGAATCTTATCTTATCTTAAAAAGTCATTAAAAGGTATGGATTTGGCTATTCTTTCTAATTAAATATAGAAATGTTAGAGCCTACCTTCTCCGTCCATTGAGAAGGAAGGGGGAAAGATATATTTTAAAAGGTTTAAACAAACAATATAAATGTTAATTATATAATCCACCCAATGGAACAGAAATATAAGGATATATTTATTTATTTATTTAGGCATTTTTTATATAGCGCTTACCTTAAAGCTCTAAGCGCTTTACAATTATTAAAAACATGTAAACTAAGTAAAATAAAAATGAGACACTTGGATAGTAACTACTATACTATAGAAAAAATTAAAATGGCTATAAAACGAGGACACTTTGGCACGTTTTGGCCTATACTACAGGATTAACCCAAGACAGAAAATGAGGCAGGGCAAGGAGGGTGCATCACAGGTCATAGGCGGACCTAAACAGATGGGTTTTAAGGGACTTTTTAAAAGTGGACGAGGTTTCACAATGACGGATATGGAAGGGGAGCTGGTTCCAGAACGTGTAATAATACGTTCAACCAAGCAATCAAACAGTAGAGATGTTAGTACCTACCTCGTCCATCCAATCAAATAGCAGAAATATGTTAGTAAATACCTGAACCATCCAATCAAATAGCAGACATTTAAGCACCTACCTCGTCCACCCAATCGAACACTAGAAATGCATTAACAATAAAGCTCTGGGCCACGTCACTCAACTCCACTATAGACACCAGCTCAAAATCAAAGTGGACCATCAGCGTTTGGGTTTGGTCCAGCAGCGGCCTGAGTTCCGGTCTGT